TGTTTCTGAGATGGGGGTTTGGGTTTTCCCACCTTTAGCTTTGCAAGCTGAACGTTAAAACCAAGGAGACCTGGGTGTGGCAGGAACCAGATTCGTACCCATCAGAGCCCATCTTCGTTTCCCATCCGGATGCACTGGAGGAAGATGATGGTAAGACTCGTGTTGTTTTGGTCAGTGACAGTGTGATTTGGAAATGCAGTTATTCCCTCAATTCCTCATCTCCAAACAGGATTACATGAAGCTGGGGTAAGTCTTGACTCCACAGAATTTAAGAGCAAACTCTCACTTGTTGATACAGAACCAAGTTTCATATTATCTGTTCCCAGTTCTGTGAAGTGCTTGTGCAGGGGCTTGTCTCACTGAAATGAAAAGACTTTAAGCTGCTTCTTCAAAGACTTCCTTAACTGAGGTAGACAATACATATTTTAGGAATATCTTTGTCTTTCTCACTTCCTGGGACTTAATCCCTTGCAGAAGTGCTCCCTGAAAGCTGAGGTAATCCCAGGCTCCATGCTCACATTTATGTTCTCCAAGGCTGTTTCATGCTGTTGCAGCCAACAGTGTAGGGTTGTTTCCCTGTTCTCCTGCAATGACTGACCCAGAGAGCACACAAATAACCAACCTCAGAGCTAGGCTGTCCCATCCATTCCACACAGGGACACCAGAATCCATAAATGGGTACCTTATCACATTAAACCTTAGAAGCAAAATTATGAAGTAATTTATAAATAAATTCATAATGTGGAAAAATACTAATCATAGAATCATGGAAGGGTTTGTGTTGGAAGGGAGCTTAAAGCTCACCCAGCTCCAACCCCTGCCATGGGCAGGGACACCTTCCACTAGAGCAGGTTGCTCCAAGCCCCTGTGTCCAACCTGGCCTTGAACACTGCCAGGGATGGGGCAGCCACAGCTTCTCTGGGCACCCTGTGCCAGCGCCTCAGCACCCTCACAGTGAGGAGGTGCACCAAGCACACCAGGGACAGCATCCTGTTTTTTCTCACCTAGGGGTGGTGCTGAGCATCGTGATCAGCCCAGGCGTGGGGCCCAAGCCTGCCTACCTGCTGATCCTGAGCGCCAAAGACATGAGCGAGGTGGCCAGGGCTGAGGTGGAGGTGAACATTCCTGTGACTTTCCATGGACTCTTCAAGAGAGCCTGACTCCTGCCTGCAGCACCTTGGACAGGCTTCTTCCAGTCCCCAAAATGTGCAGCCTCTGTTTATAAGCCCTCTGGTAACATAATGTAGAAAAGCCTCTGTGCTCTGCTCTGTGCTTTGAGGAAAAGGTAGTTTTTATCCTATACTGAAGCCTTATGGATTTAGATCTCCTCCTGGCCACTCCTGTAGCATCCTCAGAGCAGCCTGAGTGGAGCCTTTCCATTCTGCTTTGGAAACCTGAGCTGGCAGGCCTGAGACTGTGGCAGCAGCATTTCACCCTTTGCAAAGGCTGAAAACTGCACCCACTGGTCTATGTGCTTGCTCATTGCCATTCCTTTTGTGAAAGTGCAGTTTCTGGATTTGATGCTGAAACATGGAGATGAAAACACTCATATAGCACTTGGGCTGAATTTGCTTCCTCCGAGTGTTACAGCCCTGCAGCTGAATCCTTCCTTTCACAAGATAAATTTTCAGCTGATATGGTAAGAGGCTGTGGTTCAGGACACAGACTTGTTGCTAATAGAGTTAAAATCCAGGGTGCTTGTTTGGCTGCAGTGGTTTAATGTTTTTATTAATGGTATCAAAGAATGAGAAAATCATTTACAGTAAAGATTTCTAGTACATGGTGCAACTTTCAAAGGCTGATTGAACATGGCTGCAGTTACATCCCAATACCAGGATGCTGACACGGAGACACAACCTGGAACTTCTGCTGTTTTGTGATCTTCAAACTCTCTGCAACCACCTGATTAAAACCAGAAAATAACAGGAGCAATGAGCCTCTGAAACAAGAAATGAGTAAAACCTCCTTGTTCTGCACTCATCACTAACGCATTTGTGAACACTGAAACTGAGCAGTTGTTGGCTGTTGGTGTCAGTGGGAAGTGCCACTGGGGCAGGGGAAATGTAAAGGAAGAAATGTCCTCCAGAGCCCAGAGTTCATGCATTGCATGCAGACACAACCCAACCCTTCTTAAAGTCACCGTGGTGAATTGCTGTGAAACTCCAGTGACAATAAGTTCTGTGATAATCCATTTCTATCATTGCATGGCTCTGCTCCTAGGCTGCCAATCATGTATCAGAAACTAGAACATCCTGCTCTTCCACATCCATCTTTTTTTTTTAGGAAGTCATCTTTCATGTCTTATGACAACAGGGACTGAAACTGCAGAACTGCTTTTGGCCTTTAAAATGCACATGGCTAAAGAGAGTTTCCACCTATTAGCAAAACCTGGGATAAAGCAGCAAACAACACTGCAAGAACAGCTACATGTGCAAACAGGAGTTGTGTCCTGGTGAGAATCAGTCTGACAGTAACAGAGCTTCATTTCAGCTATTGCACATGTTCTTTCCACGTGTAGCTCCTAGAGAGGCAGTCCTGGGGCTCCAGTACTAGAAAATACTTCTAGGTGCTCTCCCATCATCAAAGTTCCCATAAACTCCACAGAAAACACTTAACATCCACATAGTACCATAACTGTCTATCATAATTAGAGGGATTAGTTAATAGCAGGCTCCATTTGTGATCTTTAAACAAGCTGCAGAAGTGTAAAGAGCATTCTGAGCATTGCTAATAAAGAATCTAACAAGGAAAAAGCAAAGAACAAAAGTGATGGCTTTCAGGAAGAATCTAATGAAGTGGAGGTTTGTCAGCTTAAGAAAATCAATAAAAAGGCAGGGGAGCATCCCAAATGTAGCAGCAAATTAGAAGCAGGAAGAGGAAGTGGCAAAAAGAAGTATCTTATGTCAAAAGAGTGGAAAAAATGTGAACAAAGAGCTGAACTTCAAAGAGTGAGGATACAGTGGTGATGCAAGACTGAAAAGAAAGGCTTTGGATACAGAATCAACTGCTCAGGTCAGTTAAGAGGTTCAGTGAGGAAATGCTATAGTCAAATAACCAGAATTCAGCAGAAACTTTTAGGATAGACTAATGGGGAAAAGGTGAGAATTACAAAGCTAAATTCCACAGAAAATGGAGTGAGAAGTGGGAGAGCCAGTTCTGGGACTTGATGTACCGCTGACATTGAGAGTCATGGGCATTTGCCACTGGATCCTTTCGAGATCTGAGAGTAAAACCTTCTAAATGGAGAAAACCTACCTTTCAGTATTTTGAGGTAGAATTATGCCATCATCCCAGAGCCTGGCAGAGGAGTAAAATGCACTGCTTGCTTCCTCTAGCCTGCAGAGGACAGAATATTACACAAGCTTAAAAGCACAACAATGTATTGAAAAACATCGTGCCAGTAAAACAAAATCATAGTTGAAAAAGGCAGATGTTTAAATCTCAAGTGAATATGCAGAACTACTGTTAAAATTCATCAGAATCCAGCAAATAACATGACAGACCTGATCATTCTGTAGGACAGACCATCCTCCACACACAGGTGATCACCACTGTTTAATACACAGCAGAGTATCTTGAGTTGGGGTTGTATGGGGGGTGTTTAAGCAAATATTCGTGTTTCCTTGCGAAGATCTTAAGAGGAGTCATAGAATTACACGGAAATGTAAAATACCATTGAATAGGTTGAGGTTTGCTTCATTTGTCTGGGATGTGTTGACCTGTGAGACAAACAAGTAGGTAATTAACTAAACCCTGCAAGGGTTTCTATTTCACGTCCTTACTTTTCTTTCAGCTGTTTTAGCTCTGCTCCCTCTCCTCTGTGGCCACTGTCCCCAGCTTGTGGGACTGTGGAGAGATGTCTTGAATCCACAAGAGCAACTCTTGCATTAGGCCACAAGAACAGGAAGTTTGGGCTGAACGATCTCCCACACTACAAAAAGAAAGAGCAGAGTAGAAACTCACTGAAATGAATCCCAAAAAGATGGGTGTGGGACGATAGAATCATTCTGCCTTGAACTTGTAGTACAGTTTAATTTGTAAAGGATTAATGACACAGCTTCGTTACCACCCGAACTACAGCTCCTCTATCAGTACAGACACTCTGTGGCACCACCAGCTTCCCCACTGCCCCCAGTATTGCTGGTTTATCATTTCATTTTCCCCAAGCACTTAAATGTTTAACTCTGAGCAAAGAGCCCTGCTGCACTCACGAGCAGGGTGAACAGCACACACAGTAACACACCACAAGGAGACGTGCTCCTTGAGCCCTGGAAACGTGCTGAGGAAAAGGCAGGATTTGCCCCAAGACGGGATGTTTCAGATAATGTGGTTTCTAGACCTGGCTCTAGGCTCTTAGATGCAGACCAAGTTTTCAGTTACCAGAGCTTGAGATGCATTTGTTACTCTAAAAGCAGTTAAAATAATGGACTGAGTTAAATGTCTGTACAAGAGCCAACTGTGGTTTAAAAATGAAGTGCTGAGATCATGCTATAGTGTGAAAAGCCTCTTGCCAAACCCATCAGATTTCTACCACTCCTACCACAACGTAACTCTCACTCCCGAAACAGCCACCGACTACAGCGGTTATTTTGGGAACAGCAGCACAAGCAGCAGCAGCCATGGAGGCCTTTCCATCTGCTGGAGCGAGCCTCCGCCTGGGAGGAAAAGAAAGGGTTTAGATCCTTTAAGTCTTTCTTCCAGATTCCCTCTGCTCCCACCAGCCCCGTATTCCTAAACCATTGATTTCTTTACAGTTCTGCCCCTCTGCTGCACCCTGGGGAGACCCCCCCTGCAGCCCTGATCCAGCTCTGGGGAACAGCACAAGAGGGACGTGGAGCTGCTGGAGCGAGGCCAGAGGAGGCCCCGGAGCTGCTGCGAGGGCTGGAGCAGCTCTGCCCTGGAGCCAGGCTGAGAGAGCTGGGCTGGGGCAGCTGGAGAAGAGAAGGCTCCTCAAGGGGACACCTTAGAGCAGCTCCAGGGCCTAAAGGGGCTCCAGGAGACCTGGAGAGGGGCTTTGGACAAGGGATGTAGGGACAGGCCAAGGGGAATGGCTTGAACCTGCCCGAGGGGAGATTGAGATGAGCTCTGAGGCAGAAGCTGTTCCCTGTGAGGGTGCTGAGGCGCTGGCACAGGGTGCCCAGAGAAGCTGTGGCTTCCATGGTGAAACCAGAACTCTCTTCTCCCAACAGTCTATTAAGAGAATGTGTTAATACAGAGTAATCTGAATTACACAAGGTTTTGTTGCATGGGTATTATCCCATCTCCATCATATGGGAGAAGGAATGAGAGCTTTGAATTCAGTTTGAGAAGAACACTTTTAAAAGATGCTGTTTCTGATTTCCTAAGGAATCTGATGAGACTTCAATGTTGCAACTGCCTGGCTGGTAGTTCTTGTGAGCAAATCAATCATATCACCAGGTCATGAAAAGCATTCATTTGTCATCACTCCTTGCTGCTATTGGCCTGGGACATGGTGAATTCAGAGCTCAGAGACAGAAATCAGCCTTTCCAGAGGTATTTTATTACCAATCCTTGACTGACTCAGAACTTCATAAACACCGTTACTGGAATACTGTAAAACCTGATGATGATGTGAAAGCTATGAGACAAGTAGAGGGGAGATTGAGATGAGCTCTGAGGCAGAAGCTCTTCCCTGTGAAGGTGCTGAGGCGCTGGCACAGGGTGCCCAGAGAAGCTGTGGCTGCCCCATCCCTGGCAGTGTTCAAGGCCAGGTTGGACACAGGGGCTTGGAGCAACCTGCTCTAGTGGAAGGTGTCCCTGCCCGTGGCAGGGGTTGGAGCTGGAGGAGCTTTAAGGTCCCTTCCAGCCCAAACCAGGCTGGGATTCTGTGATATGAAATATGTCCATGCATTTTGCCAGCCTCACCCTTCCACATGGACAAATCCTGTTACCAATGTCGTTCCATAATTAGCCCTGAACTCCTGGAATCTGCTTCTATCCAGCAGACGGCTCAGAATCTGCAAAGAAACATCGAGTCTTTACTACAGAAATTCAAGTGAAAACAGGACAGTTCTGCTGAAAGACACACTCTTCAAATAGCAGGAGACCTGTATTACACAAGAAGTCAGCCCAAATGAGCCCTGAAGCCTTTCTGCATCTTACACTCCACTGAACACTTGATGTGCACAGAACACCAAATCTGTGTTTACATTTCATTACCAACCGTGTATTTTGAGCCAAAGCTCAACTCCAAAATTACTTCAGTGTTACAGAGCACAGTTGTTCATGTGCTTAAAAATGCTGTACAAAACCCAGCGTGTGCAGTTACGGCTTGTGTGCATAAAGAACACTCAACTGTGGATTGCTCAGGCTTTTTCCAAACACTACCTAAAAGCTGCCTTCAGAGCTACGTTACTTCCTACAGTCAACCCCGTCAAATGCAGGGATTTACCCCTGGAAAAGATACTGGATTCACGTCTTTGGAGACTAAATCTTTTCTAGAACAGCACAATGAAAGCAGCATGGGCAGCTCAGCATGTCTCTGCTGCTGTGTTAGCATCTGTCCCAACTTCAGACAAGTCTGATTTGAGCTTTGCTGGGTTTCAGTCAGTATTTTCATTCAGCTTGTACGTGACAAGACAACGCCTTGATTCCTTGGGGGGTGTGGGGGAAAAGGGCAGGGGAAGGACACCAAAAGAGGATGCTAAAGGGGTGCACATCCTCAAGGGAGCCAGCACAGCACAATACATACTGACACAACGCCTAAAGGGGCTGCAAGAAAGCTTGGAGAGGGGCTTTGGACAAGGGATGTAGGGACAGGACAAGGGGATTGGCTTTAACCTGAGCAGGCTGAAAGGGAGAAGGAAGAGAGCATCTGTCACCTCTGCAACTCGACAGGAAGAGCACACCCGTAACCCCCTGGTGCCAGTCCCAGGAGCTCAGCAGAGCTGTACAAAGGGCTGTCGTGCTCTGTGGCCTCCTCTGCAGGGGATCGGTTCAGTGTGGAGATAACCTTTCGAATACATTCACAGGCTTCCTCCTCTGAAGATGCAAAATGGTCCCTGCAGCCACTGACACTGGGAGAGAGAGCAACATTATTAACACTGAACCAATGAAACCTGAATTCTGACAGAAAACCCAAACTGAAGGAAAAACCTTAGTCCATAATGTGACTCTTCAACGTGCCTGAAAGCATTGTGTGATGTTCTTGTATGAATGAGCTGCAAGCAGTTAAGTCAGTGGAATTTCTGTGCAATCCAACCCCCAAACACGTTCTTCCCTGTGACTTTTGTGTTTATCTATGTTAAAGAATTCCTTATGCATTTTCCATATCATCACAGTATTTGAATACTCACAGTTACTTTGCTTGATAGATGTATCCTGATAATGTTTCCACTAGGAAAAGAAGTGACACCACCCCTCTTCTACAGCTGGTCCCTCTGAGGCATTGACTTGCCCGAGGTTGTTCAGGATGTGTGTGGAAGAATGGGGAACCAGATCCAGGTTTCTCACTTATGTGAGGTTTCTATCAGAGTGTGTGAATATCCATAGACACAATGGAAATGGAATGTTCCTTCAGTAGTAAAGGTGACATTACAATGCCATGTTACTTTGTTCATTTCAAAGAGTTATATCTAGTTCCATGGTATTCCTACATATGTAACTGAATACCACCAACCTTTATAATAGTTCATGTGCCATTTCTGTGTATAATAATAATAATCATTCACTCGTGTACACTCCCAGAGAAGCTGTGGCTGCCCCATCCCTGGCAGTGTTCAAGGCCAGGTTGGACACAGGGGCTTGGAGCAACCTGCTCTAGTGGAAGGTGTCCCTGCCCGGGGCAGGGGTTGGGACTGGAGGAGCTTTAAGGTCCTTTCCAACCCAAACCAGGCCGTGATGTTACATTAAAGATAAAAATGTCAGTTTTTTAAAGCCAAATATGCCAAATTCTCTACTATTCCTGAGAACTATGTCACATACTGAGAGTGAGGTCTGGCCCCTCCCAGGTCCTCGGGAGAGACATATTCTCCTGTAGCAGCTTTTACCAGAGTTGGGCCCGCAAGGAATAACGTACCCATTTTATCTATAGTCACAGCTGCTTCTGCCCTGGCTGGGACATAGGCACCTCCAGCCACACAGGAGCCACACACTGCTGCCACCCAAAGGACACAGAAACCAAACAAATCAAGGTGCTGGGGAGGGGAGAATGGAAAGGCAAAACCATCAACATTGATTTCAGAGGCTAAATCTCAACTTGGGGAACAATGAACTAAAGATATAAATACCAGCATGAACAGCAATACTGGTTCTGAGAGAGTTCAATGCTTACTCTGAAATAACCCAGGGATATGATGCTTTTCCATCATGATCAGTCAGTGAACACTTAGAAGAGCACCACATAATCCCAGAATCCCAGACTGGTTTGGGTTGAAGGGACCTTAAAGCTCCTCCAGCTCCAACCCCTGCCACGGGCAGGGACACCTTCCACTAGAGCAGGTTGCTCCAAGCCCCTGTGTCCAACCTGGCCTTGAACACTGCCAGGGATGGGGCAGCCACAGCTTCTCACGAAATGTATCCTTCAGGATGAAGTATTCAGTTACGTGAATCTGAATCTTCCTTCCCTACAGTTTATTTGAATCTCCCACAGACAGACAAGGTGAGCTTCAGGAATTATTCTGCATGTTTGAGAGTTGTTCCTAGAATCTGTACTAGAACAAAACTGTCTCAGAACCCCGCGGATGTACCTACATGTACTACACGTCCTTGTACTCCAGGTGACACTGTACCTGCGGGATTCTCACGGCAGACATCACTGCTTCAGCGCAGAAAACCCTGCCACCGTGCGACTTGCCAGGAAACAGCTCTGCCTCGTCGCAGGGGAAAGACACGGTGACTTCAGACCGACTTCAAACGCCACCGCTTCCTCTTCACTCATTCACAAACGCATCGTAACTGACTCTGGGGAGGTCGGCACCAACAGTCACACCTGAAACTTCCATATCCACCATCCCCTGCTGTAGTTATACCCCTCAGACACAAAAATACCCGTGTGGTTTGAAAGCAGAGGGTTTGTCGGTTTTGGTGAAACCCATTTATTCTACAGACTGTGACTGCAAGCATGGGGAAGGGGAAGCTCACGTTCATCCTGTATCTGTGACATAACTTCAGCAGTTTCCCTTTTTACTTAGTTTTTGATACAATCCTTAAGGCAGGTCACAACATTTTCTATGTTCACGTGTGGAGAGAGAACAACTACAGTCTCTGTGATAATGTGACCTCTGTACACTGGAAGTAACCTGGGCCAATTCTCCACCTGCAGTAAGGAATTAAACCCCTACATTTTTGAGCGCCATGGAGGTTACCACGTTACTGTCACAAACACTGTGATAAAATACAGACTAATATAGAGTCTGAGGTTGAAAACAAAAGCCTCAAACCATGCACTAGTTTACTAAAGACACAACAGCATTGCAGCACACTGAGGAGTTCCCACACTCAGCCAGCACTTTGTCCCCCCACTGGCATTCATGTTTCTAAGCTTTCACTGGGTGCTGGATGCAAGATCAGCCAAAGGGACCACCACTGTTACAAACCTTCAAACCACCTCCTGGACTCTGTTTTGGGGATGAAACTCCATTTAAGTGTAACGGAAAGTCAGTCAGGCAAGAAAACACAATGTAAATGTGAGGTTGTTGCTAAAAATCAATGTGATTTAGATAAACATTGGTGGTTTCTTCTATGAAGTGGTCCCAGCAGTGCTAGGAATTCTCCCCTGCTGACAGCCAGGTACACGGATACCTGCCTGTTCCGCAAGGCTATTTCTTGACCTCTTAACTGTTTCTTCACCCCAGTGGGATAAATTGTTCCTCCTTTTACAGTTGCATCGTTTGCCATAAAGACACAGCAGACCCCACAGATTCTGCCAATTCCTGTAAGTGAATTGACAGACAGACACTTATCAGGACTCTCTAAAATACCCCAGATGAAACAAGGGGGGCAAGTTACAGCTAGGATGGTCTTTTGGTAATACTGTATGAAGAAGCTGCAACTCAAGTTGAAAATACCAGAGAGGGCAGAAATCTATAGTCCCTCTGGAATAACGAGCTGAAAGGCAGTGACATTGAAAAGAAAAGAGCTCACTGACAGAAGACAGGTCTTGAAATCAACTTACTTACTCCTGTCCACAATATATGAGAAAAAAATAGTTTGTCTTCCAACTCTTGAGATAACAGGGAGGCAATTAAAAATTACCTACATAAAACTGAAAAATTTAACAATCTGTGGCAAAAGACAGGATTTCACACTCTGTTCTTCTAGTTACTTTTTAAACTGGAACCACTATTTGAGATGCAATAAAAAGACTAGTCTATGAGCTGAAAAATACTACAATATAAATGTCACGGCTCCTGTGTCTCACAGTAACTTGGTTCCCTTTCCTCTAACAGACAACAGCTTATCTGACACGTCATCCTGGAGTTTTGGGACAAAACCCAGTAACTGGTAGTAGAATAAGTCACTAAATCTGGAAGAAATGAACAAATGTTTTTCTTTAAAGGTTTCTCCCAGATTTCCCAGGAAAAATCACTGAAGCATAATACAGCACTGGCTGAACTTTTCTGTGTTGGGAGCTGCAACTTGATGTTCGCTTTTCCTAGGGAAGCACATTCTTAAGATCCTAAAACATTCCATAAACCTTATTATGTGCATCCTTTGTCCTTTCCCAGCAAGAACAAACACCTCACCTTCAGTGAGCAAGGCTGGTTACTCTGGGGAGGTGTACGGCACACACAGGACACAACGGATGTACACCATCTGCATTCAGCTACTCGTCACTCGAATGGCACCTCTCAAATTGTATTAAGGATCACACTGGTTCTAAACCCTTCTTCCTTCTGGGCTGCATCCGCACAGGGCTGCTCAAAACAATCCCCTGAACCCAAGTCCATCTTTAGATGTAACATGGATCACGTTTACAGATGATTTCCCATCTAGATGAAGTTCACTGCTGTTACCAGTAAGGGACCCAGCCACAGGGACATCACCACAGGGCAGGCTGAGCCCTGCCGGTGGGGACAGCTCAAGGAAACACTCGTGGTCAAGCAGCAGCTTCAGGCGCTCCCAATCAAGCAGCTTCTTGTTTCTCTGGGTGTGACACCAGGCGGCCTTGTCCCCCTCCTTCCCTGACCACCTCCAGCAACTCTGAGTGTCCGGTCTAAAAAACAAAGCCTCCATTAATCAAAACCACCTTTACTTACAAGTTACCCTGCAGCAGATTGAACACAGCACCTGAGCATATCACAGGCTTCATATAAAAGGTATGAGAATGGAAATGAAATCACATCTTTGGATTACTGTTTCTTACAAAGTGCACTAAAAAGCAAAGTTACGTAATCTAAAGCAAGCATTTTAGTTTTGTTATTCAAAACCTGTCTAATAAAGACAAAACCAGAGTGAAATAATACAAACATTCTATCTGCAGTTTAAGTTCATAGCTAGCAGATGTTATTAAGTCCATGTTCTGCACTGGGTGTTGCCCATATACACCCAACAGAGTATTTCACAGCATATGATCATACTCAATCTCTGCCAGCAACCCCACGAGCAGAGTAGTGACAAGGGCTGATCATCAGTGGCCAAAACCTCTAAACTTGCAGCTATCCCTTAGGCTCTCATAATTTGACAGTCTAATTCAGCGTGGAGATTTACCATGTTCCAACTACTCTAGGGATTAATCTAGTCAGGGGCTGGCTCCTTCAGTTCCCCTCAACAAGTTTATCTGATAGAAATCAGTAACTGATAAGTAGAATAAGTTACTAAATCTAGAAGAAATGCACACTCAACAGCATGGAAAATACACTTTAAAGTAGTGAATACTGTGAATGCTGTGAATACTGTGCAGTGAATACTACAGCCATCGGGAGAGGAAACGACTACCAAACATTGCCAGGGCAGCACCAAGTCCAGATGAAGAACTGAATAAATTAAACAAATGAGTTATGTGGAATAGGTTTGATCTGAAATAAAGCAGGTTCTTCATTTATTTCAAATGAAGCATTTTTCACCAAGATGAATCATCTTTAACCAACAATACTGCCGGACAGAACCACTTAGGCACCACTCCGGCGTGACTCCATTATCTTACTGTGGCTTCCTGCAGAGCGGAGAGATTGGAAAACCTCAGGAGCAACAAGCGAAGGATTTTTCCTACTGTTGTGAATGCCACCACGGGAGGGCACAGTGTGTTCTCCAGGCTCCGCTTCCCGCTCACGTATCACCCTCTGAACAAAGGCGTTTGCGTTTTTTTACCTTCTGAGCTTTAAGGAGAACCACACAAAATACGTTCTCCTGCTTTCATCGGTGAATCACGACTGACTGCAGGAGTCGTCACCGGCCCTTTCGGGCGGCAGCTGCAAACTCTGAGTCACCGTTTGTGTCTTTGCATTCAAAATCAAACACAAACCATCTTCCTGAAGGTCTAGAAAAAGTGCTGCTCGGGATATAAGCAAAACAACGTCACATGGAACTATTTAAATACGGTCCCCACATAGATTTAGTCACATTTAGGCTCCTTTTTTAGGGGGGCTGAAATTTTAAGCCCTGATCCTGGTAAAATTCACTTTGCAGAGAAAGCGCCTGAGAAAAGAGCAGCTGGGGGACCGGTTTAAGCTTCACAAAGGCAAAAATCCCATCCCCAAATTTATTTTCATTTGGGGCTTTTTAATCTCTGGGCTTCTCAGTCGGGATTCCAGAGATTGATGCCCCGTCCCTGGCAGTGTTCAAGGGCAGGTTGGACACAGGGGCTTGGAGCAACCTGCTCTAGTGGAAGGTGTCCCTGCCCGTGGCAGGGGTTGGAGCTGGAGGACACAAACCAAGCTGGGGTTCTGTGATTCTTACTACGTTGAGAAGTTCCTAGAAGTGCCCGTAAGTAACCCTCACACCATCTCATAAGCAGCAAGTTTTAAACCACCCCCAAAAGCATCTTACGACCTTTTCACAACAGCCTCGCTGTTCTTAGATCACACATCGGTGCGTCGTGCAAGCACACACCCATATATATGCCTGCTAAACAAACAGCAACTTCCCATCTCATACTGACACCGTGGTGCCTCCGGGAGTGCCGCGGGCAGCGCCGCGGTGGGAGGGCAGACGTGCAGCAGGTAACGCGGGGAGCAGAGGGGATCCTGCCCCGGGAAACGAGCGCGGTGGGCGGCGGG